AGCAAACGCAGGATAGGCACTATACATTACATACCTACTGTATTATGTGTAGCGCACGCAGAGAGATTAGAATCTCACTCTATCCTGTTGGCAAACTGGGCTTTGTAGTTGGCGACTGGGCTTAGTAGCTGGCGGATTTTGCTATGTAACATTCCGTCCCAAGCTGACTTGGGCTTAATACGAGGCTGGGCCTATTAACCGTGGGTTTAATAACCGGCGACTACTGTTCTAATGCTTAATTTGGCCAAATCAAGTCGCCACTTGGAGAACGCACAAGCCAACGCGTCATCGTACGCCAACATCGGGAACCAGATGACCGAGGAAGCATCCCGTCCAATTCCACCACGTGGGACGAGGGTTCAGCGGGTCGCGGCCCGCACGCCGGTCCTCACAAGCCAAATTAGCGCACAAGCGGGAAATTATCCTCGTTAATTGTCATAAGTGTGCTGTATCACAGTGACTGTAAAAACTGCAACTCCCTGTGCATGAATTACCCGCTTCTGCTACTGTTTATGCTAACGTCTCTGATGAAGAATCCGCGACGGACTTCGAAACGTTTGGCACATAAAAGGCTTGTCCCAGCGATCGCATCTCCTTCTTCTGTAGGAGACAAATCGTTAATACCAATGCATGCACACGATTCAAAACTTTACTTACCCTGTCCTTATAGGTTTCAGGAAGATAGTTAAGGAGGGGCACTTCGGGTGGGGCGGTAGAAGACTTCTTCGCGGCGGCAGCGGCCGTGTCACCGCCGCCACCCTTGCGGGACCCACCACCGGTACTGGCAGTCATCGAAACCGGTGGTCTCGCGGGCAGAAGATTGTCCATGGAGCCAGTGTGTTTGGGCAGGCATATCAGACAGCCAATAACGTCACCCTTGCCGTAGCCCGTCTCGGCGTAGTGCTTGCCGCGTGACTGGTGGAATACGGTGCCCAGGCGGGAACGCCAAGAGTAGCTGAACTTGTCGTAGCCACAGGGAGCCTGTAGGTTTCCTTTCAAACAAGGAGGAAGGACAATTATGCAAGTTGCTGGGCTTCCCTCCAGGAAGAAATTAAGACTCTTATGTGCAAAAATTCGAGGTCCAGATATAATATTCCTTTCATCATCCCCGGAAGAGGAAGAAGAAGAAGAGGGGGCGATTTCTGGGACCAAGTTGTTTTTTAGCTGACGTTTCAAAAGCCTTCTCGCTTCCATCGGCAGAGCGTGGTGACTGTTCTCCTTCTGGTGTCAGTAAGTTTATCCAACCGCTAGCTTGATGCTCGCGTGTCAATCGATTGTACCGATCGATTTTTGGTGGCTGCTTGAATTGCTCGTGCCCTCGCGGGCGCCTCCATGAGGTGTCTTAAAGTGTTTGTGTGTCTCCCGAGTTTTTCCACCTTTTTCGCTCGCGGCTGCCGGTTGTCGGCCCTGTGTATCTTCATCCGCCCGACCTACTGTTCCGTGTTGAGTAGATGTTAGTCTTCTGCGGAGCGCTTGTTAGGCGGGATGAAGGTCTATGGCTCTGTTTTATTTGCCTGTCGAGGACCAATTTTCTAGCAGCAATCTAGCCAACTTGCCATTGGCTCGGCCTATTACCCTTGCTTTCTCAAAGGCGAACGTGTGGTTATTTTGCTGTATGTGGTCATAGACCATAGATAGTTTATCCTTGCGGTTAATTGCGAGCTGATGCTCATGCAACCTTGTACCAAGGCATCTGCCCGTTTCACGAACATACCTTGCATTGCAGTTTTGGCATGGTATGCTGGAGACCACAGCTGATTGTTCTGTCAATCACAATCGGTACAATCGATTGACACGCGGGAATCAGGCATCAGGCTAGCGGTTGGATACACTTACTGACACCAGCAGGAGAACAGTCACCACGCTCTGACGATGGAAGCAAGAAGGCTTTTGAAACGTCAGCCAAAATACAACTTGGTCCCAGAAATCGCCCCCTCTTCTTCTTCCTCTTCCGAGGATGATGAAAGGAAAACTAAAAATTCTGTACATCCGAGTGAAATGAGGTTTCAAAATCGTAGAAGACAAAGCTTGAGAGAACGGTCCGTGCATTTTCTGGATGGTAACCTCAGTACGAAAGCAGTGGGTGCTGGTATTCTCTCGCTACGCTACGGCAGACACAAATCCCTCCATCACAACCAAGACAAGGCTAAAAG